TGTTTACAAAGAGGGGTGCATAGGCAACCATGCTGACAACATCACTGTAGAAAATTTAAAAAATTATTAAAATTTAGCTCAAAAACAAAATCTTTATAAATTAAATATCAAGAAAAATGTTATATATATATATATATATATATATATATATATATATATATATATATATATATATATATATATATATATATATATATATATATATATATACTAAAACCTAACCTATTTATTTCAAGTCCAATGAGAAATGCAGCTTCAGCCACAACTGCATAAAGGCTTCCATTACCTGCATCTTGAATCCAAACAGCATACTCACTAACATATGCCTATAAAATATAATTAATTAAAAATGAGAAAAATTATATATCAATAATTATTCTTGTACTTTATCATAAATATTTGACCTTGCAGGTACATCCATGATGTATGTGTTGAAAGGAAGCTTCTAAACAAGTATTGTATCTTATATGTTGTGAGGATTGCTCTTACTCAAGATTTGCCAGGACACGAAATCAATATTTACATACAAGAGAAGTTGATGGAGAAAGGGAACATCAATGATTCCTATGTGGCCTCACTTTACCGTGAGTAAACGTATATTAATTTATGTTTTCATTTATAAATCAATTTTATCCATATTATTAATAATTCTAAATGTTTATGAAGTCGACATTGGCAACTACTTATTATATGTCCCAAGAAAAATACTATAGTTGTGTTTTGATCTTTGTACTATGGACTACCCAAACCTGCGACTAAAGCTTTGGATAGGTAAGTGATATTATATTTAATGTCAAATTTAACTTTAGAATTGAAAAGTTTTTATTCATGTTTAATTTTAACCTACGTGTGTAGATCAAAGGAGGTATTTAATGCGCACAAAAGAAATCTTATTGGTAAAAGGATAGTCTTTGTTTACCCAAGATTAAGTATATTACTTGTGCTTTTTGACATTATATTATTTGTGTGTATCAGTGTGACATATATATATATATATATATATATATATATATATATATATATATATATATATATATTATATATATATATATATATATATATATATATATATATATATATATATATATATATATATATATATATATATATTTATATATATTATATATTTATATATATAT